GTGTCTTGTATCTCTCCGTTGTGTACCTCTAGTTAGCCCGTCTCTCTCTTTGTTGCTCCGTGATATGAAAAAAATATATATTCGCAAATAATAAAATAAAACCTACACCACAATTCGTTACAATTGCAAAAGAATATCAAAAGGAAGAGATACGTTTCCACTAAGATTCTGTAGCCAAGCCAAGGATTAGAATTCAACCATCCCCCTCGAAACAAATAATCGTAGACTTCCAATTAACTCAAAGATCCAACGAATAAATTCGAGAGAGCAGGTAAAAGAATGGCAACTGTGTAATTCTTGCAACACCTTGTAGAATACTAGGACAGTCGAGAAAAATAAACGAATGATTTACTGGAGCAAGCAAACTGGAGGAATCGAAGACTTGGGAATCTGGCAAAGTGCGCGCGAGTAACAAGCGGCTGTCCGGGAGGCAGTTGGTCGGAGGTTGGTGACGGCTGATCGAGGCCATCGGGGCCGAGCGGATCGACGCACCGGTCAAGCGGAGGTGGAGTGGAACGCGAAAAAAGAGCGCGACGAGGCCGCGGGGGAGCGCGTCGGTGGAAGCGGGAGGCCGACGGAAGCGCGAGGAGCCCCGATAGCCAATGGAACCGATGGAACCAATGCGCGTGTTGCCAGTTTATTTCCACCGGCCAATCGTGTTAAATCGCCTTGTCCTCCTCGCTCCGGGGATCAGCCGTGAACCACCGCTCGAACCGGCTGCTCTGCACCGAGCGCGATCCGCTCGCTATCTCCTCCGCTTGCCACCGTCACCGTATCTTCTCCGCTGTCCTGTTCCACTGTGAGCGAATTATCTAGCGCGCGCGTTATCTTTTGACCTTCGTCGCGATTTCCTTCGCAAGTCTGACTCTTCTTTTTGAAAAAAATTACGTTTCTCTTTCGAGAAGCAACGAGTCTTGAATTTCTTTCTTTCTTTTTTTTTTTTTTTTTTTTTTTGGAAAATATTGATATCGACTGTCTTACTCTACCGTGCAGAATTATTTGCGATTCATTCAACTTTACTCTCTCGAATCTTGAATCTCTCTAACATATTGCAATACTATCCTACAATCATTCCGAGAGATCAAAAATTAAGAAGAAAACGGTGAATTAACCACGGAGCATTTAAATTCAGAAGAAGAAAAAGAAAATTAACCACCAAGATTTAAATAAACAATTCAACTTCCCAGAGAATCAACGATATTAAAAATATTAACGATCGCAGCTTGGTTCCAACTATCCTGGAACCAACCAATTTCGAAACGATCCGATATCCACGTGGAAATACTTACGTGGACATACTTTTCGGGAGGGAAGGGGGAAAGGGGAGGAGATATAGGTAATCGTGGAAAAGCAGGAAGAGGAAGACGGGGGGGAAAGGAAAGCGACAGCCGTTTCCTCGGCCGTTTCTCCTTGTTTCCCACCCCTCTCGGGTCCCCGGTCGTTCAGAAAGGTCCAGCGGAGAGTCCAGAAGCAGAACGGGTGGAGGTGGACCCGGTACTCCACTCGGTGTTCGCGGAGACGAGGAGGGGAAGCCTATCGAGCGGCGGGAGGGGAGGCCAGACCGGAGTAATGGAAGCTGGAGTAGATATTGTATGGCATTACCGGACGAACTTTCTGCGGAGAACATTGCGATATTGGTTTCGAAGAGCCGAGAGCCCGGCCTACCCGGCCTGAATTTCTCTCTCTCTCTCTCTCTCTCTCTCTCTCTCTCCCTCTCTGTTTCTCTCTGCATCTTCCTCTGTTACTTCGTTTCTGTCTCGCTTTTCCTCTGCCGGTTTTCCACGTCCTGTCTCTCGGACCACGGTTTTTCTAGCTTCTCTCTTCCGTCTTTGGCTCGAGGAAGGAAAGGCAACGATTGGAACGAGACGGGGGTGGAATTTAAGGGTTGGTTTCGTGGGAGTCGCTTGTTTCGCCTGCTGCTCGTTGTCTCGGGCTTGCGAATTTCGGGACGGATTTGCTATATTGGAACGCACGGTCCTTTCATTTCCGTTTCCTCCTTTCTTCTCTCTCTCTCTCTCTCTCTCTCTCTCTGTTCGCTCAAGTTTTCATTGTGGTTAGGTCTCTGTTTGTATAGAACAGTGTGTTTTGTAAAACTAATTATATCAGCAGAATTCTCAAATTCCATAGACAGACGAAGTCTTTGAGCTTCTTCCTTCCAGAATATTTTTTTTTATTAAAAAAAGATAGATCGATGTTGCGACACTCGACACGATCGACACTTGCCGGAAAAAAATGCGACATAAACGTGTCGTTAATGTCTCGTCAACAGCGTCGAGAAATGTTGATAATCGAACGTCAATGAGAGCGGAACCACAGCGGAGCCACGTTATATACTGTCAAGCAATAACAAGAGCACAATCAATAAAGATAATAGCCGAACTAAACGAGCGCACTTGGTGATGTATACAAAGTCGTAATCTTTGCAATTTGTTGCGCAGCGAGAGTGAAATTAACAAGTACCGCAAATATGTCAGGCACAACTAATTGGCCGATTTGCATATAATTATACCCATCCGTCGAGATCGAGCACATGATGCAGTTTTTAATGCGGAGCGAGCAACCCGTAAAATGTTCAATTTTCTGTTCTCCCGTAGACCTTCAAACTGTGCAAATTTGATGGCACGCCGCCCAATTACCATGTTTCATCATTATCCTCGCGGTAAGGATATGATTACTTCATGCTTTATTACTCAGATACGTGTGCTACTTGACATTATCGTTCTGAATAATTAATGTCCCAGGCCCCGTGTGTTTCGCCGGGTATTAATTAGACGCGTCGATACACGCTCCTTGCGTAAAAAAATTTTTCGTACGAAATTTCGATCATCGGTACGTTTGAACTTTGTGCGCCGCGAACGCGCGTACTTTTGCGCTTGTCCGCGTCACACGGTCAAAAACCTCACGTTTCAACGGCTGATTTCATCTCTCTGCTTCGAAGATCGAGGCCAAGTGTGAAGCAAGTGATTACTTCACGCTCGCGTTCATAATCACAGAATTGAAAGTTAATAAAGACAATAAGTGAAAAAAATTGTTTCACAAACTGACTTTTTGTTTCCATCTTTTTCCCTCTTTTTTTTGTTTTCGTCTCATTCTTTTGTATTCCCTTTATCTTTCTTTTTTTTTTCTCATTCGCCATCTCTGTTAGAAAGTAAAATCACTATATCTTTCCTCCCATTACCTCAATTTCATTCGATTGGATTGACAGTGAAGAAATCACATAACGATTCACTATCCGATTCGTTTTAAAGCATAAACTCCTTACTTTGATAGTCTTAAGTTAGTCAAAGCTGTTTTTAAACTTTATGTAACAGGTGGAGAAATAATGATATTTTTATACTCGAAAAAATTGTCAAAATTCAAGAAATTCTCTGGATGAAGACAAAAAATATTTTTTTGTAATAGATCTATCATCATTTGGAAGGTGGATGTCTCCTCTTAAAACTTGTTGCACGATTTTTCTTTAATATCAGAATTAAACGGAACTTTGAAAAATTTTAACATCTGGTCATCCAGTCCTCCAATGTTCAAAGTCCGATAAAATGACGAAAGAGAATCGTACAGCAAGTTTTGAGGAGTCGTTGAAAATTTCAATGTTCAAAAATACGGTGGACTCAGGCATGAAAAAAATTGTTACAAATGTCGAGAAGAAAGTATTTCCACTTTCCCATTTCACGCTGTCAAAGTAGAAGCCATCAAAACGACTAGGACTAAGTAGATCGTTATGCGATCTATATATTTTTACGAAGTTGTATCAATGGAAATTATCGACATTATTATCATTGCTATGTATTATGCTCTTTTCAAATTTTCAAAAGGACGTGTAACAAATGTGGATAAATATCGAAAGGATTCGGAATAAAGGACGTCAGAAACGCGACAACAAAGTTGTTGAGAACCTCTGGCCAGAGTGAAAGAGGTTCTTATCGTGATGTGCAACGACAAAAGTCGCAGGAATCGACATTCCCGGTGGACAGTTACGGTGCACCGAGGCACGTCAGGTTTCTGAAGCAGGGCCCCCACTTTCTTGCGGCATTGTGGCCATTGTTCAACGTTCGACTGCCAATACGTCGTCTCCATTGTGCCCATGCCACCAGGCAGATATCTATTTCCGGTACTCGTGCGCGTTTTCGTGTTACGCGCCTCTGACTTTTTAAGCGATCGCCTATCGAGCCTGGTCGCAGGTGCACACGACGCCTGGGAACTCCGACAGCCAAAGAAAACCTCACGATAAGTTCCTGCCCGCCGTCACAATTTTCCTTCCCGACTGAATTATTAATTTTACGCAAATCATACACGCGCGCGTTACCTTTCCCTTCCCTCTTTTGCTCGAGAAAAGCGTGAGTGCACGTCGAGAGCTCTAAGCTGTATCTCGTATAATTATTACTAATTTTGTTATTTCAGAAACGGAAGGACGTAGATAGAGCAGAAGTCAATCGAAGTCTGAACTCAAAGCAGGGGGAGAGGAATTTACACACTACAATGTGATAAAAGTTCACCGAGAAGAACTGGAACCGAAAACCAAGGAAATAGGAAATTCTACTCCGATTATGAAACTCCTTCTTGCAGAAACTACTCAATTCTCACACGATTGCGCAACCGAGTAAAGTAAAGCCGCTAAAGGCAGCGAGTCAGCGAGGGATGAAACGGAAGGATGAAACGGAGAGATAGGAAAGATACATACACCGAGCAAGAAGCAAAGTGGCGATTCCCGCGCGTCAAGAGCCTCGGCTAGCTCCCCGATGGAGGGACGCATCGTCGTCGTCGTCGTCGTCGCCGTCGCCGTCTCATTAGCTCTGGCGATCGCAAATTAATTCAGTCGCACCGGCAACGCCCAATTAACGCATATGAAGCGTGAAGATAGCGATCGAGCTTCCTCGATTAAAGGGGAACGCGATGGTCCTGGTCGCGTGACGTATCGACGCCGGCGCCGTTAGTAACGGCTGGTTTGATCCTTTCCGCGAAGCCGAATGGCGCCGCTTCCTCTCGAAAATATCGCTCGTTCAGCGACCGGAACGGGCGCAGGTTGTTGACTCGATTGTCACCAGCCAGCAGCTCCTTTTGCCGAACCGGGCTACGACGACCGATGATTCCTCGCTCGTCGTTCCTAGCGCCGCGGGTGTTCCCCAGCGCCAGCCACGTTCACGGAATACTTGAACAGAGGAACCAGATACCGCGGAGCAAACATGTTGGAGAACGATAAGAGAACCTGGTCGATGGCTTTTGTAGTGGTTGCGAGATGGACACCGCAGGCCAGGCTCGATCGAACAAACTTTTGACAAACATTAACTCTCGCTCAAAAGTCTTGGGATACTTTTGCTTTTTTAATGTTTAGTACTTATCGTCGATTATCGCGTGTACATATTCCATAATCCGATATTGCACAATATATAATAACGAAATAATACAATATATTAATATATTAACAGAGTCTTTATAGTATAGCCAAAGTACCTATGTTTTATATTTATTGCATTTAATTATATTGTGTGCGTTGTGTTTATTGCAAGTATAACAACTTACATTGTGTATACAATTTATACTTCTATATAGAGTAATTTATATATATTTATTATACTACTTCTATTATATAAATATAATAGGTACTTGTCCTAGGATTTTTGAGCGGTGCATAATGATGTGCAATTCAAGAATGGAAATAAAATTATATTCCATTAGAGAATCAATGTGTACATCTTGCTGTATATTGTTTAATTAGCAAATGCTAAAAATTTGAATTAAATATACGAAGATAAGAGGACATCCGTGAGGCTTTATCTAAAGCAAATTTTTTTCAATTTTACATTAAATTATAGATACATTATAAAAGTTAATAGTTGTCGAAGCCGATTTTTAAATATCAATTTTTAAATTTTAAAGACAGCTATCTAAATTTGAACATGTAATTTTCTAAATTTGAACGTAAATTGTTAATAAAAAAGAAAACAAGAAGAAGAAAAAAGGAAAAAAGGAAAACGAATTTTGCTTTGTCAAATAATATGATCCAAATAGATTCGGTCTTTCAGATATTTCTGGTAATAATTTTGAAAATTTCATCCTGAGAAAAATATTTTTTAAAATTCCAAGTTGATTATTTTCAGTATAGAAGTATTCTGGAAGAATCACGATTTCCTGACAAATCGATTTTTTTCGACTTCGTCAAAAATACATACAGATCCCTTGATCAGAAAGAATAGCTTTGCCAGAAATTTCAATTTTTTAGCGATACAATGCAGCATAAGGTTCAATGAATTTTAAAAACAAATTAAAAAGAATGAAGATTCCTTATCATTTCCCTGTATCCTTCAATTAATTGTGTAATAGAGAAAATTACATGGAAACAGGCAAGAGAAAAAATTACGATAATTAACGCTAATACCATGTAATTCTTGTTGAGTTAATTAAAATTTTGATGATTACACCAGATGCAAGCTGTTTGGTAGAAACAGCTTGAATGTTCGACGATTCTTTCAATAAGCCGCTCTGTTGATAAAATCAACGAATAAATAAAAATGTGGAAAGAGATGTTCGTAGAAAAAAATATGCTCCTCCACGTGATAATGGTATACTTTGCGATTTAATGGAAAAATATTAAACAAGTGCGCGGCCAGTAGCCGATGCAGGTCGGGAGTTTTAACGGCGCGCCAGTTATCAGAAAATTTTTTTTAAGCACCACGAGAAAAGCTTGGAAAATAAATCAAGGGGAATTACAGGTTCACAAAGCTGCGCGGGAAGAGTTCGAATAAAGTAAGCTAAATTAAATTTCGTCCGCGCAAACTACACGTGGAAACTCGTTCGATAATGATCTATCAACTCGGCTTCCATTTCGGGGGCAATCATTTATAATCAGCTTTTCGTTTATATTAAACTCGTTTTTCTTGCAACTGATGAAATAAAAGCATATTACGCGTTATATTGTATTATAGTATTTTCATGGTGAGCAGTAGTGAAGAGTATGATTGAACCAAATTAAAAAAAAGAAAATAATTAATATTAATATCAATTATTGTTGATACTAATGACAAAAAAATTTTCTCAATGTGTCTAGAGGCGTTTGAATTTTGACAATTTTCAAGAATAAGAGTATCCTTATTTCTCCGCTTGTTACATGGTGTAAAAGTATCTTTGAAAAAGATAAGTTCAGGATTGTCAAAGTAACGACTTTATGCTTTAAAATGTGATCAAACATACATATTTGGTAACACATTTCGCTTCACAATTTTTCATTCAGTTGTGCTGTTCACTGTCAAAAAAATTTAAAAAAAAAAGGAAATAAATTCTTCAACAGGGAATATTTCACGAAAAATCATTATCAATGTCAAATAGAATAATTTTCGCTTTCGAGACTATATCAAAATGAAAAACCATAGGAACCGTGACAGATGAAACTTGTATCTCTGGAAAATTTCCATTTCCAACAAATTTGCAATTTACTTTTTACCGATCCCTCTCGAGAGCCGATTTCTCCATGGGAAAAAATGGGAATTTCTTCCTTTTTGTTTTTTTTTTTTTTTGTTCTTCCTTTTTTTGCCTCTCTTGGAGGATGGAGAATGAAAATCGGTAAGAGAGTTGAAACGGAAAACCGAGATCGACCGAGAGATAGATCGTTAACAACAAGCCATCGGGACGATGGCAGAGAAATTGCGAAACGCACGAAACTGCGTACGTGGATAACAGACGCGGAGGCCCGCGTGAAATGATGCACGGTGAACCGTGAATCACTTCCTACGTCGAAGCCGATGCCTGGATGATAGCCGGCGATACCTCGCCGACTCGGCTGAAACGGTGAAGTTAATGAGATGTGCAAATGAATCGGGGTCTCTCTCTCTCTCTCT